TTTCATGTTTTGCTGATTCAATCAATTTACAGGAATATTGATAAATTATAATTTCTTGTTACATAGTTACGAATTTAAGGACAAAACTTGTAAATATAGAAACCAAAGTTGTGAATGGAGATTTGTGAATTTCTAACTTTGATGCATCTCTGAACTTGCACAACAGGACTTGCGAACAACTAATAAATTGTTGTGAATTTAGAGATAAAAATTTGTGAATGGAAAGTTGTAAATTTCTAACTAAGATTCATGTCTGGATTTCCACACTAGGACTTGTGAATGACTAATACATTATTACAAATTTAGGAATAAAAATTATTAATACAAGAACAAAAGTTGTTAATACAGGAACAAAAGTTGTAAGTGAAAAGTTGTAAACTTCCAACTCATGCATCTCTGGACTTACACACCAAGACTTCCGAATGGCTAATACATTATTGCAAATTTAAGGACAAAAGTTGTTAATCTAGGAATCAAAGTTGTAAATGGAAATTTACTAATTTTGTACTACCAAACTTTCCTCGCTAATTTTTTTTTTCTTTAATTGTTTTATTATTTTACACTTTGTTCATCTCCATTCTTCTATTATTTTATTAAACCAAACTGTGCTTGCTAATATTTTTTGTTTCTATTCACATACACCTCAAAACTTCATTTTTTTAATATTTAGTTTTAGTCTAGTAAAAGACTTATTTTAAATAACTTCACTTTCTTTCTTTCTTTTTAAAAGTTTAGCTTTTGCTATACACATATGCAACATAAAGATTTTTAATTAAGTTTAAAATCATTTATCTTCATCTTTCATATATTAACTTTTAATCTCTCTCTTGCTCTCTCATATACTCAAGATATATAAATTTAGGAACACATTAATTGTAACACACCAAATTTTTTTTAAAAAATAATTTAACTCAACCATAGTTGGGTTACAGCCACCCAACACATTCTTATATCAATAATTTCAATATAAAATATTTTATAATTGGTTTCAACTCACACACTATAACATTTTAGATAAATTTTTACCTCTCACATGCCATTAGGCTAAATTACATTTGTCCATCCTTATACTCCCAACAAGTAAACTAAATCACATTTGTCCATCCTTATATTTCCAATAAGTAAAATAAGCAATTTAGTCAATTTTCAACACAAGCCAGTTATTTGGCCTTATAATCATGCCATTTTAATCAATTCAAAGTAAATCAAATATTAAAATTACAGTCATCCAAATTGTACCAAAAATAGAAATAGTTTGAAAGGCATGATTACATTTATATATTCATATAATTGACAATAAACAAAAAGCCCTAATATTGGCAATATAATACATTATAAATCATAAATTAAATACCCAAAAGAGACAGTGAATCTATACTACTAAGCCTCTGGGACTCCTCCACGTGTCACCCGTGATTCTTTTCCTAAAAATTGTTAACCACATAATGAAACTCAAAAGTCCCAGTAACCAAAGCCAATTTATGATAGTGTATACAAACAGTTAAGTGTGTGCTTATTAAGTGAGAATTAAAAATAATATAATTCTAACAAATATAAAAAATATTACAATACATATAAACAACCATCCTTATATCCCTCCATTAACCTCGAGCCGTAGGCCTCACTTGGTGCTAAATTACCCGGCCAAAGGTAGATTAGTCCGAGCCCTTACAAGCCACCTATTGAGCTCCAATAGGAGCGTACCACGTGGCACATAAATATAACAATAATAGCAAGTCTCCCAACACCTCTCACAATAATTAAAAAAATTCATAATAATATTGCACAATTATACAATATTATAAAATTCATAATTTTCTCAATAACCACCCAATTAACATGAAGTAACACTAATCACAAATTAAAAGCATGGTTACCTTGTGGCTTTTTCAATAGATTATTCCTTAAAATTTCTCTCTCACCACAATCTTCACCAGTAATACAATCTACGAATAAAATATTATTTATAAATATTAGTTTCAATTTTTGAAACTAATAAAATAATTCTAATAATAGAATTAAAAATATAACATAATTTTTAATCTCAATCTTAATATAAATCTATAGTTAATACTATTAAGTAAAATTTTTAACTCCTCTTTTAATTATCAATAAACATTAATAATCTAAAAATCAACTTCTAAACTAATTTCTATTATCAAAATTTTCTTTTTATTTCATAAATTCGTACCTAAAATATTCAAAAATTAAAAATTGAGTCTCTAGCTTAGAATTATAATCCTATAACCATAATAATTCATTTCTCATCCCAAATAATCATCTAAACCTCAATAAATCAATATATATTTTCAGATCTAGTTTAGAATTTGATCCATAAGCCACAAATTCAAAGATTATCAACAAATTTATACTCTAGAACATTTATTATACTACTGACAACCTTAAAAATCATGTTTATTCAACATAAATTCATCCCTCTTCCAGATCTTAAATTTTCTACCACTACAAACTCAGAAACCAAAGAAGAAGGATGACTAAGAAAAATTTTTAGAACACTTACTTAGTCTTGAAAAGCTTAAAATCACACCCTAAATATCCTATTAAAAACTCTTACCTTAAAAATTTAGATATTTTGCACCGGCGACTCACATTCTCTCTGCCTCAGCGCGCACGAAGGAATGAATGAAGAAACGAAGGAACAGGTGAGTTTTTATAAAAATTCAGTGGGTCCCACACATTTTTTTTTTATTTCTTCTTTTCTCTCTCTCTTTCTTTTTTTTTATTATTATATACATGATGATTGTTGTGCGGCGGCTGAAAGCAATTTTGTTCTTTTTCTTCTTCCCCCTTTTTTTAATGCCTTTTCCCCTTTTTTTTATTAATAATAATTTAATAATATTTTTTTATTTTTTAATTTTTTTAAATTTTTTTTAAGAATTATATCCTAAGTTAGATTTAATAATCATCTCTTACTAATTTTATTACCTCTAAATATTATTTTTTTAAATTCTATTAACTCAAATTAATTATTAAAATTTAAATTGGGATGTTACATTAATTTCTTGAAAATTCACAATTCAAATTTCATAATTAATAAAAGGGAAATTATAGAACTACAAGAACATATAAATAAGGGGACAAAAGAGAAAACAATCATAGAATTTTAGAAAGGAGGAGGAGAAAATCTACGCTCACAATGAAAATGGCCATATGGAAAGAGAAAGCATTAGAGAAAGTGTTCACAAAACTTTATTCTTTATCCCTTGAACCCAAGTACTATTTAGTGTTTCACATTTACTAAGAAATATTCAGGTGATGAATGGAATTTCATTTCTTAAACCAAGAAGTCATTGCACATATTAAGAAATATTCAAACAGTGATTACATTGACAAATGTTAAAATAGTCATCACATTGAACATCCCTCTTTATATACTAAAGTGGCCACTCCTTTCTCTTTATTGTCTTTTCTTCATCAAGTAATTTTAAGTACACCTTTATTTTTTATTTTTTGTTTTCTGGATGGTTAATCAGCTACCACAATAGCTCAGCCCTAAAGTTAGTAACTGCTTCTTACACCAAAGAAATAATAGCACACAAGTAGAAAGAACAATATCAAACAAAGAATAACACACAAGTCTCCATTTACAACTTTGATTTCTATATTCACAAGTTTTGTCCTTAAATTTGCAATTATGCAACAAGAAATTGTAATTTATTAGTACCCCTGTAAATTGACTGAATCAGCAAAAAATGAAATACCACTCTAATCCAACAAATAACAATTTTCATTGATTTAAATGACAATAAAACCTTAAAAAGTGACATACAACTCTAAAGTTTTTTTGTCAGTTACATGATCTATAACTTGCATTATTTTCACCCTAACACTTCCCTCATCATATTGTATTTTACCTACAATATTTTTTAGAAAATGTCCCCTTATGTGAAAATAACAAAATAATTCCTTTTCAAAACTAAAAGCAAAAGAAGTCATTTCTCATGCCAACTTGAAATAATAAAATAGTCATGTATCAACATGTCTATTTTTTAAACATCATAATTACATATATGTTATATTTTATCCAACAACAACTATTTGACTTATATTCACAACTTTGTATTTGTTATTCACAACTTTTGGTTTATGCATTTATAACACAACTGAAAATGATATATTATTTATCATTTATCTATGTTGAGTAAGAATCAGTACCCACATTTTTCAACTTTAAGCATGAACAGAAAATACAGATCTCAATCATTCGCGCACAATAACCAACATCAACTTCAACTATCACATATGGGAAGAGAAAATTTCAAAGAGGAGAGAAAATTTATCCACGTATAGCAGATGCAACAGAGGAAGAATAGTTGCTTATAAATACCCATGTATAGCAGCTCAATAGAACAAACAACCCATGTATAGAAACTGAAAACAAAGGAACACGACAACAAGAAGAAGGAGGAGATGAAGACAAAGACGGAGAAGGAGAGGGAGACAGACCAAAAGAATACCACGAAGGAGAGAAGAAAATGAGGACATGAACAGGATGAAGCAAAGCCTATAACGTGTGTGGATTTTTCTTTAGTGAGCCTTGAAATTTTTGTTTGTTTTGGGGACAATTTGATCATTTCCTTTAATTTCTTATTAACAAAAAGATCTCAAAAAACTCTAAAAAAATTATATCATTTCGTAAAATCAATCTATCATTTATTTAATAAAAATGAATTTTACTGTCATTTTTCCAAATCAAAACTTGCGTTAGTTAGATGTTATATGTGCAACGCATTAAGGTCAAATAAGCAGGCTGCGGATTTTTTTTTTTTTTTTTGGCTCTCCACTTGCTTTCGAAAATATGTTAATTGTATATTATTTCAAAAATTTCATTTTCCTTGTTTAAATTATCACCCAAAGTGTACAGGTAAACATTTGTGCAAGGAAAAAGTAGAGATGACGACGAAAAAAAAAAAAAAAGGGGGAAGCTATCTGTACGATTTGGAAATGTTTACCTTCATATCTAGTTCCGGCGAAACCTCTAAATAAAACTTCTTCATTTTCGAATGCCAGAGAGCAACAATCCTAGTTTACATCCAATACTACTTGTCACCGCTTTCATAGGAAACAACACATCAATATCAAGGATCATGTATTAAACCATCCAAAATAAAAGGCATAAAAGATGGACCAAATCATCCAAACCTAACAATTTTTTTACGTACTTAGTGTAAAAGTCACAGTTCTAAAATATTTACACCAAAAGGCAATGACATGCTGATCTGTCATTATAAAGGTTTAGCAGCAGCAGCATCAATGTAGGCAATAGCTTCTGCCTCAGAAAGCTGTCCTCCTTCTACCAAGCCTCTTACTAAGGCGTTGGCATAAGATTTGTTAGGGGCACGCAAGGGTAGCTTCCCAGATTTGAAGCTTTCAATATTAGAAAGTGAACACCTATTTGAAATAAAAGGTACTATAAATACGAAGGTAAAGTCAAAATGGATTAGTGATAAGTCACCCATGTGTGATTACTCACGTCAAGGTAAGAATTGGAATGTTCTGCTCCTTGCCCAAATATACAACATTACCATACCAAGCACCCTGCATACCATTGAGGAGTAATGAATTACAGCAGACATAACAGAATTGCAAAGTCATGACAAAAGCGGCGTAGTGGCAACTACAAACAACAGTTTTATTCTACTAGATGAGGTATTGCGTTCTATCAACAATAAGGCAGCAGATCAAGATAACAAATTAAACCCGAGTGTCCAAAATAATACCTTGACAACCTCCAGAGAATCAAATTCCTTGCTAGAAATAACATTTAGGGCAGTTGTGTCAAACAAGGGAGAACCAATATTCTGACTTAGACCATTTTCCAGAAGCAAGAGATCATTTAATTGCTCCAGCCTGCTATAAACATGGAAGAGAACGTTACATAAGCTCCATTCGATATATATATAAAAACACTGAAAATCAGATTTGACAATGCCATGCTCCATCAGCAATGCTTTGGAACTGGATACGGTTCCTGCTAACAGGAGATTTGAACAACAAAAAAGAGCTTGGTCAGTTCACTTACGAAATTTTGTACAGGCACATGTAAGTGTTGTCCTGATAGTTTCTTTCAGGATTAAGGAAAGCAACCCCACCAGGACCCCACTTATATGAGGAATCACGACCGAAAAACAGACAGCAAGGGAATGTTTTCCACAGGATCTCCCTTGGTTGAGTTGTGTCCATTGCACCAGAACATTGCATTTGCAAACCTTCCGACTGATTACCATTTCAATAACCAGCATAAAAAGTAACAGACACAAAGCTCTGAGAAAGTAAAGGATATAAGCTTAAGAACCAGAAAATGCAAGGTGGAACATTCCCCCTCCCCCCCCCCCCAACAAATCGCAAAATATCGATGCTTCATAATATCCTAAAGCATGGAAATACAAAACTTTGTCTTGTCAGCTACAAGAAGCCCAATCCTTTTTACAAAGCAATGAAATTCCAGGGCTTTAATATTTCCCTTGACAGCAATTTGACATTGACCTTCTAAAAAAACAATGACAGAAGTCTGAAGCTCCTGTAATAGTTTACTGGTACTAAAACTTTGCTTGGACCACCATAAATCTTGCTGCATTCCAGTGGAATTATTAAAATGAATAAAAAGCCTAATATCTGTTTCAGAGTAGCATACATGATAATGTAAATTGGAAGGTTGAATTACCTGCCCACCCGCTGTATTGCTAAGAAATCTCGATTTCAACATTTTTGATCCATATGAGGCATACCAGATGACAATATTTGAAAGTTCTGATCGCCATGAGTTAGTAGCAGTAGCTGGTTGTTCTGCACAAAGTACAGGGTTTGTCAACTGTTAAACATGTGAGAGTTGAGAGGGGAGGTCTCGGATTAATCATACAGTTTACCATGACTGTCTACATCGACATTCAGCTTGGAGAGGGGCCCCATAACACCCTGAAGTAGCTCTTCTAGATTTTCAGAAATCTGTGGACCCTTATCATCCTCTGTCTCAGAGTCGGAGCTGGAGATCAGAGTATGCTATAATGGCCAATAATTATTGCCACAGATATATTAGGATGAGAGAATAATGTAATAGAAAATATGTAAGCAAGAAACAGACACATGTTCAGGCAAGGATGCAAGAAAGACAGATAGCACAACTTGAACTGAAGAGATTTAAAAGCTTAGTCAGTTTGCAAGCAGTTACACATTCATTAGTTGTAATCTTTCAAACTTGTACAACTATAGCATGACAAAAATGTTCATTGTGGAATGTCAAAAACAAAAAAAAGAAAAAAGATTTCATGATCCAAATGAGGTATTCCTATGAATAACAAGTTCATCTTCCATGAGACTATTTGGGCCTAAAATGAAATGTCAATTGAAAGAAGCCCAAGAAATGAAAGAGGAAACATCAAGTTTGATAAGCCATTCATTAAGACAAGACCCGGAATTTCAAGGTGACCTTCCAAGCTAGGCACGTGTTAAGCTGGCTAAAGTAACCCTTAAGACCCAAAACAACTAAGCGTGGAAGACCATTATTTGGACAGAGGGCCATTATCTTGACATGTGCCTCATATCTCGAGGCTGTTATTTGGATTAAGTAATCATTGAGTCGTGGAGGAAATGCAAACCTTGAGACTCAAAGCGATTAAGGCAAGAAGACAGTTACTTGGATCTGCCACAAATCTCGCAAGACCATGCCATGTATAGTGGATATTTCGACATACAAGCTTCGAATGTTGCAAGACCAACAAACTTAGATCAACATAAAGCTCCAAAGAGGAAAGAAGACAGCAATGAACAATCAATAACTCACTCAAACACTTCATTACTCAGATTATTTTTCATATTGCTTTGTACTTAGAATTTAATTTATTTTTCAATTCCATTGTATAGTACTTCCAACTTAGTACAATAATCAAATTACATTTTCCCAATTAATATATTTATATCTTCACATCCGAGTGAATTGAGGCATGGGAGCCAAGAGACTCTTTGTTCACATTTAAGACTTCGCGTCTCTAACACGCCTGGTAATTATATTGTCCAAACACCGCAAACCATTTGTGATGAATAATTTGTAACATGCTTGGTGGAACATATGTGGCAAGATGCCTAGAGGTCACAAAGACAAGGACAAGGTTGATAAAAAAAAGGGTACTAATTCTTACGAACTAAAAGGTGGCTTTGTACTTGCAGGGCTAGAGGGATTGATAGCACATGAAGCTGGAGCAAGTGCATATTGTGAGCACATAGTGCCGATGAGTACTAGCAGCAACAGTGTGAGTCCAACCTCAAAGGCAGGTAACAACATTGTCAATCCTCTGATTATGTCTAATGAGCTTGTTGTAGAAGTACTGTGATGGATATAGGATCATATGGATAAGCAATCGAAAGAGAGTCAAAGGTACTACAAGCTTTCACTCGAAGCTTCAAAGTGTAAAGAAAGGGAGCGCCAGAAGGTGATGATGCAAGCCCTTTACCAAGGGATAAGGAACATAACCACATTATTAAGTGGAGAGCCCGGAGAAGATGGCTTGAATTTCGTGCTGCCCAAGGGGTAACCTTCAGGTAGTAACCAAAACAAAGGCCTTCGGGGCAACATGCACGAAAGGGGCAATCTTAACCCTCATATTTTTGTTTCCACTAATCTTATAAATAATCCTTTGTATTACATACAAGAACCTAACATTGGTGGCTTAGGGAGTCTAGGAGCAATCCCAGAACGAGCTAACATTCCACCTTCACGAGACCAACTGGTGACAGTAGATACATTAAGGGATGAAATACAAGACATCTACGAGCCCAGGTTAAGACCAATTGTCCAGCCTACCTTTACAAACCATATTGTGAATATATAGATCGAGAAAATCCATATTCTAGAAGCTATCATATTCCAAACTTTACACTATTCTTAGGAGATTGCACCTAATTAACCTAGGAGCACATCTAAAGATTCACCATTCAATGTGAAGAGATTGCCATTTATGAAAACTTTAGCAACTTGAAGCTAAGGTTGTTCTCGAATTTCCTCACAGGCCCAGCCTTCACATGGTACACAACATTGGTAGGTAACTACATTTTCACATAGACATAGGGCCAAACCTGAGATCAGTATTACTGAGCTATGTAAATTATCCCAAGAAGCTGATGAATTTACAGATCAATATCTCACCAAGTTTAAGAAGTTGAAAGGCTGATGCAACGTGCCTCTCCCAGAAACCTAATTTGTCAAGCTAGTGCATGTAGGCCTGGATATTGAGTTGAGAAAGAAGTTCCAAGGGATGAAATTTAAGGACTTCTACAAACTCACCATAAAGGTCCGTCAGCACACAGAGTTGTTGAAAGAAAAAGACCATCATAGGCAGACCACTACAGATACTTACTTCAATGAGCTTGATGTAGTTATGGCCGAGCTAAGAACTACAAGGGATTATGTGGGTAGAATTGTAATTACTGTAAATATTTAGTGTCCTTTATGAGGGGAATATTGGGTAGAATAGTCAAAGATATTGAGTTTATTGTTTTTTATTCTCTTTCAATATCCTCGGCTCAGTTTATGGGATCAGATTGATTTCTAAGCTTGTATATAATTCTCGACTTGGTGAATGAATGAGATATTGCTGTCTGAACCACATGGTATCAGAGCCGACTCCCTTCCACAGCTCTGACAGCAATTCCGATAGTGAAGGTACCTCAGACGGGTTGAGTTCTCCACGTTCAACGGGTGCAACAACAGACCCGATGTCTAAGAATGTGGGCTCCTCGTCGAGAGATCCGAGTAAAGCCGGTGGTCCCTATGGGTCGACTACTGGCTTCGAAGGATATTCAGTACTAATCGTGACTGACAAGTTGAATGGGTCAAATTATCGTGAGTGGGCACAAGCCATCAAGTTAGCAATCGATGGCAGAGGCAAGCTGAATTTTCTCACTGGAGCTGCAAAAATGCCCAGTGAAACAGAGTCGCAGGCCTTTACCCAGTGACATACTGACAACTCACTCGTCTCTTCTTGGCTCGTTAATGCTATGATTCCCGAAATCAAGCGAAGCTTTATGTTTTTACCTACTGCAACAGATATCTGGGTCACAGCCCGTGACTCCTATTCTGACGAGGAGGACCTTGCGCGACTATATGAGTTAAAGACAAAGGCTTGGTCCTTGAAACAAGGGGAACGCACTGAAACAGAGTACTGGCTCGAGATGTCAGCAATATGGCAAGAGCTTGATCTCATGTCTAATGAGCAATGGAAAGACCCAAGTGATGCAGTAAAATACAAGGAGAAGGTTGAGTATGAATGGGTCTTCCAATTCCTAGCCAGACTAAAGTCATCACTGGACGACGTCAGAAGCAGAATCATGTGTAGATTACATCTTCCGTCTACTTGGGAAGTTTTCACATAGGTACGCCGTGAAGCATCTAGACGCAAGGTAATATTGCCAGAGTCTCTCTACTCCAACTTCACCCTTCAAACCTTCTACATTGGTTAGTCGCAGTAATGATACTAATCCAAAGGGCAAGAAAGGTAAGGTGACCTGCGAACATTGTAAGAAGCCGAGGCACACCAGGGATGTATGTTGGGACCTTTATGGGAAACCACCGAATTGGAAACCAAGGCGAGGAGAGTCCCGCGGCTATCAAGCGTCTAATGATAGTTCCAAAGAATGTCTTGAGTCATCTGTCATATCTCAGGTGGACCAAGAGCAACTAGGTAAACTTCTAGAGATGTTGAGTGTCTTGCAAAAGACTAATTCATCTCAAAAATCCAATCCTACTGCTTCTATAGGTCACAAAGGTACATGTGCTTTCCTCTCTACCTCAAACAATTTCAAATGGATAGTGGATTCTGGAGCATTAGACCACATGACGTGTGATTCTAAATTATTCAGTATATATAACCCTTGTTTGGGAAATGAAAAAATAAACATAGCAAATGGGTCATCCTCTCCTATAGCTGGCAAAGGCAGCATTATCGTATTTGACCATATGAAGTTAGAATCTGTTTTACATGTTCCCTATTTAGCATGTAACTTACTATCCATTAGTAAGATTACAAAAGATGCAAACTGCTGGGCTCATTTTTGCTCTACTCATTGTATTTTCAGGACCTTTTATCAGGAAAGATGATTGGCAGTGCTAAGGAGCATGATGATCTCTATTATCTAGATGAAACAACCGTGAGTAACCTGTGATCTCACATACAATGCAATTTAGTTTCTACCTCTAAAAATAAATCTGATATGGATATTATGTTATGGCATAGGAGAATAGGGCACCCAAACTTTCAATATTTGTCTCATTTATTTCCTGGACTTTGTTCTAATAAAATGATTTCTTTTCATTGTGATGAGTGTGAATTAGCCAAACATCACCAAACTTCTTTTCCTCGATCTGAATACAAGTCTTCATATCCCTTCTCGATTGTCCACAGTGACTTATAATGCCCATCATGAATTCCAAATCGAACATTCTAAATGGTTTATCACGTTCATCGATGATCATACTAAACTTTGTTGGGTCTATCTTCTAAAGGAAAAAAGTAATGTCTCTTCTGTTTTCATTGAATTTTACACCATGATCAAAACTCAATTCCACACCTCTATCAAAATCCTCCACACTGATAATGGCACTGAGTACTTTAATAACCAATTGGGACTTTTCCTAAAAAATAATGGCATCCTTCACAAGAGTACTTGTCCTAATAGTCCCCAACAAAATGGGGCTGCTGACAGGAAAAACCGATACCTTCTTGAGGTCGCTCGGGCTTTACTTCTGGTGTTCCTAAGTACTTCTGGGGGGATGCTATTCTCACCGCCACTTATCTTATTGACCGAATGCCGAGTCAGGTCCTCTCCTTCTCTACTCCACTTGACAAACTCAAGGAATCTCTTAACCTAACCCACCTCAGTTCTTCCATTCCTCTCAAAGTCTTTGGCTGCACGTCTTTTGTTCATACTTCTTATCTCTCCAAACTTGATCCTCGTGCAGTCAAATGCATTTTCTTGGGTTATTCTCCTTCACAAAAGGGATATCGATGCTATGACCCTACCCCTAAACGTCTCTACATTAGCTTCGATGTTACCTTTGTTGAACATGAGCCATTTTTTCCAAAACCTTCAATTCAACGGGAGTGGAGGAATAATGAATATCAATTTTTGGAATTTGAGGGGGAGAGAGTCCTTAAACCTATTATGTTACCTGAAACCCAAACTCCTTCTGTTCCAATAGGTAGAAGCAAGTATTATACACTGGTTTATGAATGAAAGAGGAAACGTGATAATAGCACCATCATGCCCGATGCACTTCCAGAATCAAACCCGGTGGAAGTTCTTGAACCCAACTAAGTAGAACTTGATGATAGGGCTGTTGAGGTAGAGACAGGTGAAGAGACAATTGCAGATGATCTAGATCTACCAATTGCTGTAAGAAAGCAACCTAGATCTTGTACCTAACACCCTATACAAAAGTATGTGTGTTATAATGCTCTTTCTCCATGCTATAGCACATCTATTGCTAATGTTGACAGGGTGAAAATTCCCAATAATATCATGAAGCACTAAAGATACCTGGATGGAGAAGTGCAATCATGGAAGAAATGAAAGCCTTGAAGAAAGATGACACATGGGAAATTGTGGACCTACCTAAAGGGAAGCGGTTGGATGCAAATGGATGTTTACTCCCCAAGTATGATGCCAATGGTAATCTAGACAAACTCAAAACTAGATTGGTTGCAAGGGGATTTACACAACCTTATGGTTTGGATTATAAAGAAACGTTTGCCCCTGTAGCTAAATTAAACACTATCAGAGTGTTACTATCGATTGGAGTGAATCTTGAGTGGCAGCTTCATCAATTAGACATTAAAAATGCCTTCTTGAATGGAGAGTTGAAAGAGGAAGTATATATGTCTTTACCCCCAGGATTTGGAGATGAGAAAGTTGGACAAGTTTGCAGACTCAAGAAATCACTCTATAGGTTGAAGCAATCCCCTAGAGCATGGTTTGATAGATTCTCCAAAGTTTTGAAGGCCAAAGGTTGCAAGCAATGCCTTTCTGATCACACAATGTTTGTTAAAAATGAGAGTGATAAGAGATGTATTCTTGTCATATATGTTGACGATATAATCATTACAGGAGATCATGAGGAAGAAATCAGTAGAGTCAAGGCAGCTCTTGGAAGAGAATTTGAAGTTAAAGATCTCGAGAAACTAAAATATTTTCTGGGAATGGAAGTTGCACGGTCCAAGAAAGGGATCTATGTGTCTTAAAGAAAGTACATTCTAGATCTTTTAACTGAAACTAGGATGCTAGGTTGTAAACCGATAGACACACCAATCGTTGTGAAGAAGAAAAAGAAGACACTCAAAAAGGATGAACCTGATGAAAGGGAAGATGTCCCAGATAAGGAAGATGAAGATGAAGAAGAAAATGATGAACCGGTTGATAAAGACAGGTACCAAAGACTGGTAGGAAAACTAATATATCTTTCTCACACTAGACCTGATATAGCCTTTGCGGTTAGTGTAGCCAGTCAGTATATGTGTGATCCAAAGAAGAAACACATGGAAGTAGCATACAGAATTCTCAGATATCTAAAGGGGACTTCTGGAAGAGGATTGTTTTTTAAAAGGACAGAACAAAGAAATATAGAAATCTATACAAATGCAGATTGGGGAGGAACTCATGCAGATAGAAGATCCACCTCTGGTTATTGCTCATTCATATAGGGAAATTTGGTAACCTGGAAGAGTCAAAAACAAAGGGTGGTCTCCAAGAGTAATGCTAAATCTGAACTGCAGGCCTTAGCTCAAAGAATAACAAAAGAATTGTGGCTAAGACGCATAATGGATGAAATACAGGTCAAGGTAGAATCCCCGCTAAAGCTTTACTGTGACAACAAGACAGCTATTAGTATGGCTTTGAATCCTGTACAGCATGAAAAATCCAAGCATGTGGAGATAGATAGGCATTTTATAAGGGAAAAAGTGGAAGAAGGAACCATCTGTCTCATGTATTTGCCAACCACACTGTAGGCTGCGGATGTTTTGACAAAAGGACTTCATGGGTTAGCTTTTAACAATTGTATAAGCAAGTTGGATATGACTGACATCTATGATCCAACTTGAGGGGGAGTATGGGTAGAATTGTAATTATTGTAGATATTTAGTGTCCTTTATGAGGGGAATATCGGGTAGAATAGTCAAAGATATTGAGTTTATTGTTTTTTATTCTCTTTCGATATCCTTGGCTCATTTTATGGGATCAGATTGATTCCTAAGCTTGTATATAATTCTTGACTTGGTAAATGAATGAGATATAGACGTCTGAACCACAGATTACATGTGTCTAGCTCTAGCATGAAAGGCTAAATCTAAGGCCCTAAAGAAGCCCAATGCTATGCAATACACTTTGACACCTTGAAGACTGAGGAAATATTCAAGTACCTATTGAAGGAAAAGTTTATCTCATTGCCCACAAATCACAAGATTCCGTCTAAAGAAAAGCAAAAAGGCAAAGAATATTGTAAATACCATTACTCTTGGAGCCATGCTACTAACTACTGTTGGGCCTTTAAAAATGTTATGCAAGACTAAATCACTAAAAGTCTTGAAGTTCGCTAGGAAAGAAGAGATGGTGGTGGTAGACAAGGATTCATTCCCTCCATGCCACCACAAACATGGTGGAACTAGACTCCAACCCTAGAAAGAGTAGGAAACGCAACAGAGGGTAGGGGACCATGCCAGGACCCTAAAATGTCAATAGGGCAGGGCCAACCAGATCACAGGTACCCTTAAAACGTGTGGGAACTGGAACAACCAAGGAAAGAACCTAAAAGACCTAAAAGACCTAAGGTGGTGTGGGACTGCATAGAGGAGCCCTCTAGCAAATTCGATTTCTTCATCAAATATTCAACCCCACTAGATGCAGGGAAAACATTACGTGGCAAACCTATAGGTCAGGCATAGGGCCAGAGACAAAGCCATCACAAGAGAAAGAACTCCCTTCAACACTAAAGCCCGCGTTACGGCCAGTTTGTCGCCCCACCTAGTGACGTGTCACCTAGACAATGGAGGGTGATTAGGCATAGGAAATTTCTTGGGAGTCTTGACTTGCATATAAAAAAGGCACCTCCAGGACAAGCAAGCCACCTAAAGGTGTAAGGAGACTCAAAGTCCCGAGTCACACACACGAGTTCTAGTCAGAGAAAGAGTAATAAGTTCAAGAGGAAGTCCACAAAGGACCAAGAGGACAACAAGAAGGAAATCGAGAACTTGAGCAATCAAATGCAAAGGATCCACATAAGCAATATTCCTTTAAATTTATGCTGTGTAGTTTCACTGACGCTTCCTCTTCACTTTAGTAGGACAACAAGCTCTAGAATGCCTAACAATCTTGGACTCGGGACAGGCAAAGAAACACCTTTAACTAAGTAGGTTAAGGCCATAGACACTGATACAGACATTGAGGAAGAGGTGAACAGGACATGCCAATATTGCTCGATAGAACCCAAAGAAGAATATGTGCCTGAGTTTCCAATGGCTCAGGAGGAGTAACCTCAAGAAGTGTCCAAATCCGAGCCCATGTGTCAAGTATCAGCCGTCAAAGGGAAGCCTAAGAGGACAATTCCAGAAAAACCAAGCTTGAAAGTGACATAGCATCTGAAGCTCTTGCATATCCAGGCTCATTTTGATAGGAAACCCAAAAATAATCATATCAACGTTATAAATAGAGCTCCAAAGAGGAAAGAGGATAGCAACAAACAATCAATAACTCACTCAAAACACTTTATTACTTTGATTATTTTTCATACTGCTTTGTACTTAGAATTCAATTTATTTTTCAGCTCTATTGTGATTGTTGTAGTACTTACAACTTAGTACAATAATCAAATTACATTTTTCTAGTTATCTTTGCATCTTCACATCCAGGTAAACTGAAGTAAGGGAACTGGAGGACCCTTTGTTCATATTTGAGACTCCACGTCTCTAGCACACCTAGTAATTATATTGTTCAAATACCATGAACCATTTGTGATAAACAAAGACTTTCTAGAAAAAGTGGCATTGATATCTTTGCAATGAAAAATCATCTTGTTCTCATATTATGTGTGGCATCAGAAGCCATCAAATGAAAAGCCAACACAACTATTCATTAAAAAAAAAATAAACTTGGAGATATTTTGCAATAATCAGCCTTCACATATAAAAGAGAGTCTAATTATATTAATGCTGCCGTTTGTCAATATCATCACACAAGAATTATTAACGCTCAAAACAGTTCTTATTAAAAGTTATTTTTGAATTCGCTTATGATCATTTATTGGCTAAATCAACTACCAAGGAATGGAGCACAACAATGAAAAGAGGGTCACCGGAGGAGGTGCTGTTTGACGAATCAAATTTTCAGGTAACTTGTTGGCAAGTGTCGGCCAGAATGGACTTAATTGCTGGCGGACCTGCAATGAATGCACGTACCCTTAGCATAGAAAGAATCTCTTGTACAAATTACTTTGACCTTTAATAACAAAGGCCCAAGCTAGAACTGATATATATATATATATATAGAGAGAGAGAGAGAGGGAAATTCTAGGAATGAGTAGAGGCCTTACAACATTTCATTCTTACCTCAACACAACACCGGGACTCAGGAGGAGATACTTCTACCTAATTATGGCTACTGCCAAATTTTCTTTTTCCTCAAACTGAAGGAATAATAGGGAGGAAATATCATTACCGCTTGTATCACACGCCATGTAGACTCAAATGGATAGGCCTCCAAGGATCTTGTAATAGACTTCTCTTCTAGTAAAACTTTCACACAAGCAAGCATTGAATTCGCTATTGATTTAAGATTATATCCTCCTTCTAACACCAACACAATCCTACCTTGAGCAAAATTCAACAACTGGAATTCACAGAAAAGAGAATATGTACCCATAATATGGTGAGAAGCATAATAAATGTCATTTAGAATTTGAAAGTTCAAAACAATGACATTTAAAAAAATATATATCAACTGAAGAAAGAATTCCAAATCATGACTGAACAAGGAAAGAGAGCAAGCATAAAATTGGAAAAACACAGATTAACAAAGAAATCACTGTGTTAGCTATCAAATCTGGTCCCATTGTAAACCTTGAAAGGCTTTTTAGTGGTTATGCTTTCAAATGCTGGAACCAAGATATTACCATGGTTGCAATTGCCCACATATCAAAATAGTTATTTTTAACAAGAAATAAACTTCACAACAAGCAGACAAGAGGAGGAAACGTGAGTCAATATCTGGAAATTAACCTTTTCCAACATAACTGAATAACCATCTGGGGTAACACGACATCCTCCCAAAGGGTCACCAACAGCTGTAACATTAAAATAAATGATGTTATTATGAAAACTTATAAAGGATATATAATGAGCACAAGCAATCAAACCACTCCCAATTCACCTCAGAAAACCGTTAATATATACTGCAGTGAAAAATAACCCTAAGTTTATATCAGCAGCAGATGCAAAATGGTTATTCATCCAACCCGAAAGAACATAGTCATATATAATTTCTAGCTTATTGAGTTAACAGGTTGTACTATTTTTTACCAGATAACAGGCTGCATCATGATTAAACCTCAACAACAACAACAACAACAACAAGCCTTTATCTCACTAAATAGGATCAGCTACATAGATTACAAGACGCCATTGTGCTCTATCATTTACCAAGCTTTTAAAAATATTATTAATTAAGAGATCGCATTTAACAACTTCTAAGAGTATTCTCTTAGGCCTTCTTCTACTCCTCTTAACAGGGCTCAAAGTTATATGTTCCACTCTTCTCACTAATGCCTCTCACGGTCTTCTTTGTATATGTCTAAACCATCTCAAACAATTTTTTACCAATTTTTCCTCAATAAATGTTACCCTCACTTTTTCACATACGAGCTCATTTCAAATTTTATCTTTACGTGTATGTCCGCACATCCATCGTAACATTCTCATCTCTGCTACTCCAACTTTATGCTCTTGCTGTCCCATTAAACCTAGCATTCACTGCTATATAACATAGCCGGTCTGATAGCAGTACAATAAAACTTTCCTTTAAGTTTATTAAGTACCTTACAGTCGCAAATAACACCTTTAGCTTTTCTCCAAATAAACCACCCAGCTTGAATCCTATGTGAAATATCTCTACTGATTTCGCCATCATTTTGAATAATGGCTCAAAAATATCTAAACTTTTCCACTTAAGGTACAATTTGATCTCTCAATTTCACTTCCAAGCTATCATTTTGAATACTGGCTTCCAAATATCTAAACTTTTCCACTTGAGGTATAATTTGATCTCCTAATTTCACTTCCAAATTACTATCTACTAGTCTCTTACCAAATTTACAATATAAATATTCCTCCTAGTCATTGCTTATTTTTAGCAACAGGAAATTGACCCAAAAGTAAAAAGTCCTCCTGGTCTTCACTACATAATTAACTATGCTGGAACTATCTTATTCAATATTTTACATCAAACTGATTTCACTCTATCAATTATGACTGTGGTGAAGTAACTATGAATCTGCATTGTTTCTTGATTAATTGTCATTCATGTCTCAGAATCAAGTATTATGGCGATCAATATTTTGTGTCAAGCCAACCCAGTCCATCAATTCTGACTTTGGTGAATACCTAACTGCATTGTGTCTTAATGAATTGTCATTCATATATCAGAATTGATAAGTTGGAACAATCCAGGCTACATCATATTTGTTTGGATCAGTTGTTAAGAGTCTTGAGACTTTTGAAAGGCTCTTCCAGTTGTTTAGCTGAGTGAGGCACTAATCCCATCCATGACATGATTCAGATATACATCTAAGAAGATTAGTAAAGAGCACATCCCAAAAGGGGGCCAAAAAAAGAAAGGTACGTTAAAAAATATCAAATTTTAATTTGCCAGATTTTACCTGCATCAAATCCAGCAGATACTATAATCATATCCGGATTAAATTCCTTGGCAACAGGGACCAAGATGTGATCCCAAACAGCAAAGTAGTCTGCATCACCACATCGCCCATTTTCCCAGGGCACGTTAACAGTAAACCCAGCACCTGGTCCTTCTCCAATCATGGTATAAAAACCATCATCATTTGCTGGATAGAAACTCCCAAATTCATGCCTGCAAGAGCAGAAATGTTTATAAACCTCAAGCTGAATTATTAGTGTGATATGACAACTACTAAACTTTGTCTTAAAGCCTAAACTGAAAAATCCTTCTCCAATAGACAAAGACCCAGACCCATCCTGTCCAGTAGTTATAAAAAAAAAAAGAAAACAAAAAAAAAAAACTATCAATTTACATTGGATTAGTATAGTATTAGTAGATCCACCAATTTCATCCTATCATAACTAGATCATTGGATCCATGAAACTATAAGTTCACATCTAGGTGTGATTAGCAATAATCCAAGATGCCCAATAAATTATTCATAACTGTACCTATGAACAGAGAAGAATAACACACGAGAATCATTCCAGAACATTTTTTGAGTGCCATTTCCATGATGAACATCCCAATCAACAATTAAAATTTTCTTCACACCTAATTCTGGCTGTCATACACATGACAACACCTGAAATGTAAGGTTAGGAATTCACAGCAAGCGGCTGATTAAAGGCTTAAAAATTGAGTGATATCCGGTGATACCCACTCTTTCATCTAGGAGATAACTTGATGCAATTGCCACGTTGTTGAATAGACAGAACCCCATGGCTTCACCATATTCTGCATGATGCCCTGGAGGCCGGACAATAGCAACAGCAGAATTCAATTCCCTCCTTGCGACTTTCTCAACAATCTAGACTTCAAACATATTTAGTTCAGACTCAGTTTTTATATGGATAGAAATTGGGCAAATTGAAAGAGGAAAATATATATAAACTCATTGTTTTAACAAACTAGTGTGAATCTTGTATTTGCACGAAGTTTAAGAAATTAGCCCACACTGTTCAAGACTTATGAATAGTGCAGCTTGTTGGGATTCTTGTATTATATATAGATATAGATGTAGACGTTATTTTTCCGCAAGTGCAGTTATTAGTATTAAAATTTACAATCAAATGCACATATGAAACAAATTTAAACCAAGATAGGAATTTGATTCAACTGAAAAGCTTAAATTTGTTTAAATAACTCAAAATCTTATTAAACATGAGCTATTGAAAATAAAGGCTCAGTTCCTTTGGCCCGTACAGGCATGTCCTGTACCAGCTCTACTTATTGCAACAAGTCCAAGGGTGTAACTGAAGAAAGCCTAATGGGAAACAAAATCAGCATTATTGTATTATCATTCCACTCATAATTGGCAAGGTTCCCAGGAGATTGAATCAAAGAGGATCATCATGGATATTACCTCAACAACAGAGCCAGCAGCAAGATAAGCAGCTTCTGAAGAACCCTCGTTGAAATAAATAGAATTCAATTTTGATGCAATCCTATTCCTCCGTGAATTAAATTGTTTTAAACTGATGTTCTTTATCAGGTTTACATGATTTTTTGAATGCACTGACAGTAAATATTTGTCTTCAGCTTCTTTGGCATCCAAAACCACACATCTGGAACAGGGAAAAACACCAAATTTATTGAGACTACGTCAAAGAACATTGAAATTTTATCACTTTATGAATAAACATTGTCGTAATCTAACATTCCAAATTTCAGCGATGGCACAATGAATTAGACCGAAAAGAATGATGATATACCCAACTTATTGCATTAAGTCTAAATCGCAACAAAGCTCAAGATAAGGTCTTTGCAGTTTATTCATGAGGCAAGTCATACCCATCCCACAGTTACAAATCGGATAGTTGAGCTTAATTAAGGTGGAAGGATATAAACTCGAGCTCTAATGTTCGAGTAATGCGGGCTCTTACGTGTAATAAAAAAAAAAAACAAGTCAGCAATTCATCTCGTCAAAAATCATTGATGGTATTGAACACCTACAAAATGCGGTGCACGAATAGCAAAGAAAATTAAGAAGAAATAAAAGAAATAAAACTCGCAGCATAATTTATATTATTTCTAAAACGCAAAATTTAAACAACCCAGCAAAAGTAAAATAATTCTCGAATTCCTCGCCACGGAAGAGGAGTGTCAAAGTTAACCTTGACCTGAACAAAACAACTCAGAATACTAGGCTAAAAAGCAAGGCGCAAACTTTAGGAAAATGATAAGCTACCTTTCAGGAATACCAGCGTTCTGGAGCTTCTTCCAAATAGCCCTAATCCGGTCTGGGTTTTCGGGATGGTAGTCATTGCCTGGGGTGTAGTGCTTACACATCCTCTCATCGTACAGCAAGCCCACGCGCCGTTGACCGTGACTACCAATACTGTTGCTCCTTCTCTCAGTGTCAGGCTCCTCCACTGCATCCATGAAATCAAGATTTCTCCGCCACTAGCTCGCCTCTCTCTAATTCTCTGTGAGCAAGAGAGGGAGAGATAATTGAAGTCTTGAAGCGAAGTTCGAGTGCAACAGAAAAGTAAAGGAGACTTCTGAATTTGAAACGCAGCACTTTCAATCAGTTTATCTCATAAGTTCTCCACTTTTACGTATACAAAATTTTGAGCGGCAGTGGTTCATATTTTGCACCGAAAGTTTGAGAAATGAACTTGCGAATTACTCCTCTAGTACTCCATTTCTACCAATTTCAATTTTAATAAAAAAGTATAAAATTTTAAATATGTTATTATATAATAAATTAAAAGAGTAATATTAATTTATTTTTTTATTTTATAAAGAGTAATTTTAAAAATATCTTTTAAATATTACATAAAAAATCACACCATAATTTATAAATAAGATCAAATAGATTTTCTTAAATATGATTTATAAATGAGATTAGAGAGGAGGGTACACATGATCCCTTAATTTTTATTTCTATCTTCCCCCTACATGTTATTTAATAATTAATATTTGAGGTAAACTCTATTAATAACAGAATTAAGAATAAAATACTTTGACTTTTCCTCTATTTTATCTTAATTGTATATACCTCCTCCTTATTTTATCCTAATTACAGATACTTTCATTCTATTTTTAAAGCCTGTATGATCTTCTCTTGCTAAGAATAGTTATAAAACACAAATACTCTTCTTTATTTTTAAGTTTTCATTTTCATTCACTCAATTATTAGTTAATCATTAAGTTATACATGTTAAATCAAAATACCCCTCATTAAATATAAATATTGTTTAGAAATTAATCATATTTTCCAAAAAAATAAGAGCATATTTTTGTTCTTTTTGTTTTATGACCATATTTATTAAAAACAAAATTAAAAATCTAGTGGAATAAGGATTTTTTTGGCTAGAAATAAAATAATTATTTGATATAATAAATTGCTTAATATAAGTTATATTTATTTTTTAAAATTTTATTAATTTTAACATAAAATTTTAAAGTTATTTTTTAAATATCTATATACTTAATTATTAAAAGTTTTGAAAATTAGGAGAGAAGTAGACAATTAGATTTAAGGGCAAATTAATAATTTTAAAATTTTTAACATAATTACAAATAAAAAAATTGAGTATGTTAGAATTTTAAACGAAATATTCAGGGTTAACAATAGGACTAAAGTGTATGTTTTAAAAATAAATGAGAGGTCATTATAATTTTAGCAAAATAAAAGGAAGTCACTGTATTTTACTCCAAAGTTAATTAATTGTAGGGGGTTTTGAAAAAAAAAATTAAAGGTTAATTTTAAACATTTAAAAGTAAGAGAGTCATATAAAATTACCTTAAAGTTTAGAAGAGCTTTATGTATTTTAGCCTAATAATAATAATAATAGGAGGAGGAGGAGGAGGAGGAGGAATTTGGATTTTATTCTAAACATGATTCTGGCCTTAAATTTTTTATTGAGTATTAATCATTTTTATTATGTTATCTCTTATTAATAAAATATAAATAATTCAGTCTTTTAATCTTATAAATATGATACTTTTAAATTTAATTAAAAAGTATACATTTCATCATAAAATTTTAAATATTTCAAATGACAGGCATTTTTAATAATTAGATTATCAAACATCAATATTTCACAATCAATATAAGTAATAAAATCTCTATCCAAAAATTATAAACAGAGCATTTTATAGACTCGCTTAAAAAAAATTGTCTAGTTTTTTTGGTGGGTTAAGAAAAATAGCCTGGTTAATTAATTAATTGATCCCAATGTCATTGGATTTTCCACTGAAAGGAATGATCAAATGCTAGTAGTTGATTGACTTAAATAGCGTGGTTTTGGAGTTCATATAAAACATAAATAAATTTATCGAAATTTGGTAAAAATATTATTTTAATCCTTGAAATCAAACATTGGATCAGCGGGCGAGGCCTACGCAATTCTGCACTGAGATGGCTTTCTTTTTTGTCAATTTTTAAAATTAAAAGGTGGGTTAGCTGTTAAGATTGTTCATATTAAAAAATGTGCAGTCAGCATTTTGATCTAGTATGAATAATAACTGAAACATATGCGCATGTCAATTTCTCACTCGGAAAACCTCATTGCCAACTTAAGAGAGACAAGTTTTCTAAATTTTAGCGCATCGCGAGTAAGCTGCAGCAAAACTACTGGATCGTTTTGATTGCATGTTAACATCATGAATTTGTAGTTTCTGATACTTGCTGCACAATCTTCTTTTCACCAGTTGAAATGATTATAATATTTCTGTTCAAAATGAAGAACAATTGTAAGTTTGCTAACAAGTCACTTTTTTTTTTAATTATATAACCTATCTAACTCTTTTTCATAGGAAAAGGGGCCTCACACACTGCACACACCACACACAAATAATTTCCCCACCAACCATGATGTTTGATCCTTCAACCTCTAGCATTAAGGAATAGAATCATAATAGGATGGGTGCTACTTGAATCAAAGGTTAACCTGATTTCACCATAGGAAAAAACTGCAACATTTAAGTGCAAGGGAGAAAACGAAAGTGCTATTTTGTGGGGTGTAATATTCCTTTCTCTACAATTAGCCTTACGTAACGGGGCATTGAGATTAGTATGGTTTTTGAAAACCGAGTGACAAACTATTTGATAAATCCGAGCGTTAGCAAGCATTTCCATACTTGACCGAGGGTTAACTCTTGTCTATCTAGCAAGCACTGGACCACAATGCTACTTCCAAAATACCTCTTTTTCTCTCTACAAGCTAACAAGCCATTCGGATTAAAAGCCATGCTTGAAGGTCTACCCTTAAAAGTAAAACAGGACAGCTTCTGTTGCTTCGATCATCTAAATCAGCATGTTTCTGCACATCCCTTGCATTAGATTTCTTGCATAAGCAAGCGCGCTTTCTACGAGCTAACGAGTGTCACTAACTGATCACATTTTAATACAAGTCAGGAACTCTCTTTTTAACTTCAGACTCGGAGATTGCGAATCTTAGACTTCCTGGACATCTTCAAAACCTGGCGGGGCATCCTTTGCGTCCATAATTTTCCGATAATCCTGGATGGACTTCAATGGAAATCTGTCAAAAGGAAACTCTATTTTGACATGCTTTCGAAGATTGGCAGACAAAGATGGCTTATCCCGAACGTTCAAATTCAAATCACCAGAAGTGATGGTCTTTTTATCTTCTGCCTTCTCTGTGTTCAGCCTTGGAGGCTGCGAAGCCTTGCGTTCATGGACTCCTTCAAAACCTGGTGGGGCATCCTTTGTGTCCATAATTTTATGATAATCTTGGACATACTTCCATGGAAGTTTGTCAAAGGGAAACTCTGTTTTGATATTTTTTGCAAGATCAGCAGTAGACAAAGATATTTTATCTCTAACGTTCAGATTCAAATCTCTAGAAGCGATTAAGATCTCATTATCTTTAGACTTCGCGGAGGTTTGCTGAAGTATCGTCGCTTCGCCAGAATTAAAAGAGAAATTTCCTGATTTGTCTTTACGATTCTGAACAAAGTCAGTTCTACCCAATACATCCTTTCCTCCAACCATGTCAATATCCATATCAACAGCCTCTGGGTCAGTTAACTCATCTATGGCTCTATCATCTTTCTTAAGGCGAAAGACACCCCATAGGAAATTTTTAGCATCTAATCTTTCAATGGTACCTGTGAGCACAATTTCATTTCGTCTTTGTGAAGAAGTCGAAGGAAGGCAACAATAATTTATATTCGAGCCAGGCAGGCTATTGGACAGGTAAACAATAATTATCAAAGCACTCACTCTAAAAGTAGAACAATCAAACAACGTTGAATCTAATTTTTAGAAACTCCAGATTCCATTCTGCATTTTTCTATCAATAATCCTGAATTTATAAACCTATACGTACCACATAAATCTGGAAGCATGAACCTCACAACTATAAAAACAACTAATATATAAAAACGATAATGAAGTACCGTACCCTGGGAGCCCTCATCTAGCTGTTTCGAAGTAAACACCAACAACTCCACTCCATCAATAACACTTCTCAACATAGCGTTTTTGGCATCCAAGAACTCAAATATGAAATTTAAGTGCTGTCTAGACCTACAGTTAATGGTCAATACCAGTACAGGCAGCTTAGACAACACATGATTGCATGACTCCAAACCAAGAGGATCATCAGTAAGAAGCAAAAGCTGACCTCTCACAGTTATCTGAAGGAAAGAAGTACAATGCCACGTCTTGAAGTCCCGGACAGTCACTTTGGAACAAATCTATCAAGAAATTGGATATAGGTAGTGGTTCCACCTCAAGAACTGAGGGCATTTTGCATGAATGATAGAATGCTTTACGATGAACAGTGCATGGAGGTAGAGCTTCCAATCCATCATAAAGTGTGCACAATGCAGCGCTTTGAAATTTAAATCCACCCCTAGAAAATGGTCAGAAGCACATAGTTTGTGGGTCATTACAATTTTGTTTATACTACTAAACCAAAATATCTACAGGCTTCATCAAGTACCAGTAATTAACTAGGATATGGTTTGGTCGAGAAGGATTGAGGGAAAGGGAAGGAAAGTGAAATTTCAATTTTGACATCTTCTTAATTTAGATTTAAACAAACATTTAATGTTAAAGTTGAAATTTCACATGCCTTTCCTAACCCAATCCAAACATACCACCATTGAAGGACAGGTGATGTGCCATAACATCATGAACCAATATACTGCTCCAAAAGTGCAAAGTTTAGATCAAAAAGGAGAAGAATCAATTACTTTGAAACATAACCAGTTATTTGGTAAGCAGTAGGTTTCAATTTAAAAGCAAAGCAAATTCTCCACTTCAAAAGCCAGGGGAAGGCCGAAAAGGGGGGATATTCTGTAATTCCCAACTTCCAGCCAACCACAATAACCTTGCTTTTCTAATGCCAGCAATTGGTTGTTTCATGCAAAATGCATGAATAAGGCCATTTCCTTCAAAGATTCCCCCATATACCTTCACCGCATCTTATTTCAATTCAATGAAAAAGAGGGAATATGAGCATTACAATTGCAATTGGATTATATTCCACAGATCCATCGTTTTTATACTAAAGTAGTACCTATTATGGCTATGGAGGCACTGAAACTCTCTTGCAAACTATGTTCAAAACTATAGAGGTTTATATGCATAGGTGAACTTACAGATATACATGCATATAGTCCTTTTCTTAGACTGCTTAAGTTAATATCCTACAGACTAGACTAAAATGAGAAGTAAATCTAACTGTTCATTCCTACCATGGAATTACAAAGCGAACTTTTTTTCCAGATAAAGTGAACTTTACTACAAGGGTAAAAGATGAAAGAATAAGTAATACAGGACAAATAAAAGGTTACATACTTCCAGGTAGCATGTGAAGAAGGTACGCAGCAGCAATGCATCTTTAAATTCATCTGAATGTTCCACGGCCCTCTCTCATCAACATTAGATCTATTACGTTCACCGTTAGCACAAAAAACACCTATACACACACAACAAAAACGATATATGTAAGGGCAGAGATAAAATAAGAGAAATCAGGTTAAAACCCCACATGTAGCACATGACTAATGCTTTAATGTGTGTAAAGAAACTTTTTTACATATACATGATGAGATTTTAAAAGCTAATGCAACAACAAACTATGGTAGAACAAGTACCTTGGCTTTTGGGATATGTAGAAGAGTGACGGACAAGATACAGAAGTTAAGCTAAATAATACCTGAATCAACGACAGGTGAAGATTGTCCAGCTTGTACAGTGGCACTTGGTTCCTTTTTGTTAGGCGTTTCTACCTGCTGATCCAAGCTTTCAACTTGAACTGGCATAAACCATTCCTTAGTGCCTGTGAAAAAACTTTTCTACTTATAAATGATGGGATACTAAATTTTAACATACTGTGGTCAAAAGTGACAGTCATGACATTACAACTACAGTCTAAAGAAATATCCTACCAGGATGAACAACAGGTGAACATTTTCCCACTTGTGAAGCTGCACATGTTTCTTTTTTCAAATGCTTTCCTAACTGCTGATCTAGGGTTTCAGCTGCAACTAGCATAGATTATCCATTAGTAACCGATTTTCCTAAACATGCTCCTTTTTGGAGGGTGCTACAGAAGCTTTAGTATCAGAAGCAGGGAGCAGAAAGCCTCACAGTCAACGGGAAAAAACTCCCAGCACCTTAGTCATTTACATGCTAGAAGAGACTAATTAAACTGAAATCTGTCCAACTAACAATATGATTTTGCAAATTGTTTTGTTCAGAATGTCTGCTTCTGTGATAACAGAACATAATCAAAGGAGCAGTACCTTGCAATCAAAATCTTCAAAAACAATGTGCCCATAGCCTTACCTTATTCTAATGCATGTCTATATTATTTGGCAATCGTACCCCTATTCATACACATAGCATAATATATTTCAAAAGGAAGCCACTTGATTTAAATCAAATATGAGTCAACTAGCCCATTGCATGCATTGTTGCTCTTTTGTAAACAGTTGACACATCCTAGTACTAATCTGTTATTTATCAAAATTGAGAAACTTGTTTGACACTTTCTAAGATATGTTCACCAACAAATTAGTTTCTCATAATTTACTAAACAATTTGTTTGGATCTTTTTGTTGAGTGTTACCCGGGTCACCTGCTTGCCTAATTATCTGGGAACTATAAATAGTTTGGGGTCATCAAATTATTCCGTATCTCAGCACAAAAAAACTGGAAAGAACAGAGAGACAACAAATCTTCGAGCAAGTCACCCAAGAACAATAATTTGCACGAAGAAATAAGCAAGCCAAGGAAAAAAAAAAATTCAAGCATAAAACATAACTATGACAAATGGGAGATACCTGCGGTGTTAATTGGAAGAGAGCTTGCTTGTGTTGAATACGATGCTTTATCATTACCCTGACGTGCACTTGCTCTAGAAGTTTCCTCTTGGTTGACCGGTCTAATGAAGCTTGAGGAGTGCTCTCTCCAATCACATTTCCTTGAACGGTCTACAAGGATTCCTGTAAAGTTTGAATTAATATGTCACACAGCATAAAATTCTATTTTCATCAAATGCCTTACATGCGCATGTGTGTTATGTATCCAGGTTTTCTGTTTAAGGAGGGGAGAGGAGGACTAGATAGACAGGGACAATCAAGGGTGTTACCTTTTGCCAATGAATGAGGAGTTTGTTGATTAGTTGTTGTCTTTTGAACTCCACTGTGTCTAGGTAGTTTCCCATGTTCCACAGGTGATGAGCTAGAATGAGGTTTCACATTCATAAATGAAACCTTTGCATTAACTTTTTTTGATGGACTATACACCTTGTGCATAGAAGAATTCGCAGGAAAAGCTTTTGAGGACACTTTACCACCACAAAGTCGAATGGCTTCTTCCTCAGGTATGAATTTCACTTTCCCAGTTCCACCAACATTTTGGCTTCTAGAACAAGTTTGCAATCCAGAATTATGCATTTTATATGGACTCGTTGAATGTGTATTCTCATGTTCAGTTATATCAGTTATGTCAGAAGCATCGACCGCAGGGTCTCTTGAGAAATTCTTGTTTTCAGCATATTTTAACAATGTTGCATCATTCCCAGAATGGCAAGTTTCACAAATCCAGTCATCAGGAACTATTTTGAGAAAAACTTCCATACAATAACTGCAAACAAAGAGAAGTAACAATAATTCAGGATGAGATTTATTTAGCAAAATTATGAAAGCATTCTGGTGATCACAGGTCCATCAATTATGTGATAAGCATTCTGATTCACACCACAAAAATTACAGCACAAATAAAATGGTGAATTTTTTTTTTTTCTTGGGCTTTTGGATAGCATAACAACAATCGAACATACAGCCAAGTAAATGCATTTGATAGATGAACAAACAGATCAGGCTTATAAATGAACTAGCTAATTCAATTATACTTAACTTTCCCAACAAGTTGGATATATACATTTAAATAGACAATAAGAAAAGAAATCATTACACATGTGCACGAGCAACTTTGCATTTGGAGCAAGTAGCAATTACTTCAGGGAAACCAGCATCACCGCATACATCACAAGGTTCAACCTGCAATGAAAATGAACACCCAAGTTTTTAAAATATCAGTTGTACAGAAAAGCCAAGTCTTCTTGATAGATATTGAAATCTTAAGCATTCTTTCCTCTGCCTCCCTCCTTTTGAATAAATAAAGTCCCTCCACCATAGAAGTTCATACTATGTCGTAGGTTAAAACTTACAACTACAAAACAGTTAAGACAAATCAGCAACAGGAAGTCACTATATGATTTTAAATGAATAAGGTGACGTATGAAAGTGATGTCTCTTATTTGAGTCATCAGCACACAACAAATGACCATGCTAGAAGAATTTGGAATGATATTATTTGTTCCCTCATTATTCTTCTATACAATGCTGATATATGTACTTGTAAAGAAACCAGATATTTGCTGCAAAGGTTTGAAAAATATCTCATGCCCCATCATTACTTTCTAGCAAACATACATTTTGGTTCCTTATTTTCTTCTTTCTTTTTTCTTTTTTTTTTAGATTTCACTTTTTCCCCTTAACTTTATTTGGTTATAATTTGATCCTCTAAATTAAACTCGTCTTTCATTTTTATTCCTTAACTTTCATTTCGTTTCAATTTTATCCACTAATTTTACTTCATATTTCCCTTTCATCCTTTAATTCTATTCTTTTCAAATGTGATTCTTTAATTTTAAAAAAAAAACACTATTCACCTGTTTCTTTCCATCTAACAAACATCCTCAAGTTAAAATGTTTAACAAAGAAAATCCTGCATCGGCCAAAAAAGGAAGAAGAAGTCCTGTAAGGCTTATAGGTAACTTAACTCCCTGTATCACCCTCAAACATATTGGGGAAGATGTAGCAGGTGCTATGCAGCTGTATCGGTAAAAAGGGAGATGCAGCCCTGTTATCAAAGCTCCAGGTTGACATCGAAAATTATTATTATTATTATTATTATTATTATTATTATTACAACACGTTCAATGTATAAGATACAGATCTGTTTTGCCCGTGTGTATCGACGGGCACATAATTAAGTATTAATTGTTAATACATCGACATACTTTATTGATGACATTAAACCCACAATGAAAAAAATTCGATCATTTTTCTCCCTATCGAGATTGGTGCATTGTTTGTAACTCTGACCTGGCCCGATCAACCTCGATTTCCAGATCTCTATAAATTGGAGGGTTGGGATGCGGTGACTTCAATCTAATTTTTTATTTACTCTTTTACAGTTTTACTATCTACCCTAAAAGAACATATAGCTACTCTCAAGCCCATCATTCTAATTTAAATTCTAGTCATGCTAATATGAATATCTTATTTTCATTAAACTTGCAAACAATGTAATGGTTGCCTCCCTCACCCCGTTCAATTTTTTTTCTAAAAAAAACTCGCTTTAAATCCAAAAGGGGAAGAAGTATGAACTCCCAGTGATGTTTTAACAGTCACGCAAAAACATTAAAACAAACGACCAACCACAAGGATCCATGCGCAGTGCAAAAAGCGAAGCAGTAATTTACAGTGGGCATATTATAACCGAAATAAGAAAAGAAACACGTCGAGAGCTCAAGTGGGGGAGAATTCATACAAGTATGTCTCAAAAATGTAGGACGAAAGCAGACATGCATGGTGAAAAACTGCAGTTGAATTAGGGTTTTCTGGGGCCTCTTACGTTGTGGATGTCGCCTTGTTGCTGCATTTCCATGATTAATGATGGCTTGTTGCTGCAACTCTTTTGGGTTTCTTGCTCTGAACGTGAAAGGACGGAGGCAATGCACAGAAATGGAAAGACGGAGCGACGAAGGAACTGGACCGGCCCCACTCAGTCACGAAAGAGAGAATGACAAAAATGGCGCCACGTAGCAGGCGAAAATCGCGTGGATAGGCTTGAGTGGCGCCCACCGAAGGAAGATAAACGGTGATGATTGGGAGAAGCTGAAGCTGATTCTGATTTGATACGCTTCAGCTTCAATATTCAACGGTTGTGGGCCTCCCCTCCAAATTTATGGATACATGATTGTTTACTCAAATTACAGTGAGCTCACGACTCACGCATCCCGACGCGAATCTGATTATCTCTCCCGCCTCATTTGATGTATTTGATATGGTTAAGGGTAGTTTGTTTTAGTTTATTTAAAAAAAATTACTTACTTTGTGAGTTTATATGTTGTTTATTTAAATTTTTAAAAAATAATTAAAATCTGAAAAAAAATATTTAATTATTTTAAAGAGCGACTTTAAATAATTTTTAAAAATAATCTAATACAATAAATGAAAAAGTGTTTTAAAAAAACGAATACATAAAAATATCATAAAATTTTAAAATAATATAATAATAAATTATTTTTATAAAATAAAAGTCAAGAAATATATTATAAAATATAAAAATAACTAACTATTAATTATTTTTTTATTATTATACCTAATATAAAAGAATGTCAGCTTTTCATAAATTTTTATAAAATGAATATCTTTTTATAAAATATCTAAACTTCCTAAAAATTATTTATTTTTTATTTTTAAACAAGTGAACCATAAATAGTTTTTTATGAAATTAAAATTGAAATTAAAATTAAAATAAAATAAAATTTTAAAAATATATTTGGTATATTAAAAAATAGATGGAATCCTTTTATTATTCTTGTTGTCGTGTAAGATATGAAAATAAAATTATATTTAAAAGACAAAAATAATCCTAAAAATTAAATTTAAAATAAAATATATTAAAAACTTAATTGTATATGTTAATTTTTTCATATATTTAATATATAAATAAAATATTATATAGATAATAGATATCATATATAAGTAAAATATGTCACAAAAGAAATATTACACACACACACACACACACATTATAATTTAGAGTTAAAGTTCAATTTTGCCTCTAAAGTATACCCGTAGGATCATCCAGTGTCTTGACGTTAAAATGTTAAATGTTGATTGTTAAGTGCTGATGAGTCATTATTTGTTAACCTCCACGTGTAAAGATCTAATTGTAAATTTGGCAAGGATGAGGTGGAGCTTAGCTAATTGAAGGGAAAAGGAGGTGGAAAAAAAAAGCTTCAGCGGTGTAAAAAATACAAGGGCATATGTGGCTTGAAGAAATCAAAAAGGAGACAAGGTGACGAAATCAAAGAGCAAGAATTATGTTACAAGCAACTTTGATGGAATTAGCCACTGTGTCATCAAGTTTTAGGAGGAGGAGGGCAACATTCATAAGGCAAGGAAACGAAGACACAAACTATGTAGGGGACGTGAGATACTATCTGTGCAGAGAAGTGGCTCCTCATTAGACCTCTTAGACTGAGCATAAACCTAGATAAAGGTTTTATGGATGTCTGAATTACTACCAAGTATTTTTTTAGCATTATTTGTTTGGTTGTTTATGGTGACATTAAGCCTAAGTCTTGATGTTTTGGTTATTGATAGGGAGGGGAATGTAGGTATTTTGCATGGCATGATCTTAACATGGGTGAAAGGCCAAAGGAGGTGATTCAAGAGCTCCTAGGAATTATCGAGAGGCTGAGTAACAATAATGGGAGTTCGAGAGGAAATACAAAGTATGGTGGTTTTGTCACTACTCGTGAAGGTCTAGTTGCAAAGGTTGATGCCATTCGTTGTGATCTTAATGAGCTGAAGTCTAAACATTGTGCAATTAAATTGGCAAGGGGAAATGAAAAGAGGACGCTGAGGATGGCTACTTCTACTTTAATTTGGTCGTGGCTTCTATTTGTTGTTCTCAAGGTTTCAAAAGTTGTGTAGGGATGGGGTATTATGGTTGTATTTGATGATTATGTGCATGTTTAATGGGTGCTAAAAATCCTTGAAACTCATTTTTGCATTGTCTAATGGAATCAATGCCAAAAGCCTTGTGCTATGTTTTGGAGCATTGAGGGAACCATAATGGCATTTGAAATTGCAAGAAGACATAATGTGTAAAAACAGAGCACAAATCTTCATAGTTATATCAGTATAAGTTATGTGTACTAGTATAAGCAAGAACTCATATGTGAAGAAGTGCTAAGTCACTATACGAGTATAAAAGATTCATAAGAATTGATAAGTATTTAATTCAACTCAAAATTGTGTTAAAAAGGATTCTAGAAAAGTTATAAAGTTAACACAACTCATAAAAAGTGAAAGGAATTGATATTGAATGATTTTTGAAGAGTATGAAATCAAAGCACAAAGAACAAAGCATATTTTTTCATGTTTATATCGGAATAAGCATCACTGTATTAGTATAAGGAAGTTTTGTTTAGGTATAAGAAAGCTTTGTACCGAAATAAGTGTTCAAGATAATACAAGCCAACTTCTAATAGGTGTAACTCTTTCATTAATCCAAATGAGGCAAATGACATATGGTTGGAAAGATCTGAATGTCTAGTTTCAAAGGAAATAATACCTAGGTGAATATTCATAGTATTTTCAAAGATATGATCAAAACAGTGAGCGAAGGTCAATAATGTTTTTCTGCAGGTTTGAAAGTTTTAATAGCCAAATTTGAAAAATCATATTTATTTCAAATAAAATCTATTTTGAATCTTGAGTTATTTGGATTGTACAAGTCTATTTTCAAATTAAAGAAGTTTCACACCAAACATATTTGTATATTAAGAGATATATAGAGAATGCTAATTAAAGGTCAAAACTAAATATCTCTAAAACTCTTAATTCAAAATATAAACATTAATAACATAATTAAACTCAAGCTAAAATCTTTTCAAATCTCAAGATAGATTTAAGAAAGTATTTGAGACAAATTAAGTACTTATCCTAATGACAAATGTAAGCTTCAGGTAAGATGACCAAAAAGAATAAGGAGTTAGAGACTAAGTACAAAAAGGAATAAGGAGTTAGAGATTAAGTATATAAACCAATTACCCTTAATTTCTATTAAATACAAATTAAAATATTTGCTTCTCTATTTTGTAATCATCAAAACAAAGGTTCAACATAATGCTACCTAACCATCAATGCTATTTATTTTAACTTGCAAAATGGCACAATGTCATCAATCTTAGGCAAGTAAATACTAAAGGAAACAAAAAGAATACAAAAATTAATCCCAAGTCACTTTGATACCAATTTTGCATTCATCCTAAATAAGTTAATAAATGTTCATTCATACAGATAGGTTGCAAAGAGCTCCAAAATTAGTTAACATTACACAATATCCATTTAAAACCCAATATCTATCCAAAAACACAAGTAAGTCCTCTTCTGCAAGTCTCCTTGCCAATTGCATGTCTACATTGTGCATTTATAAATGCCACCTTTAAAAGAATTTCCCTTCTATAAGTGAGTCCTCTTCTACCTAAGACCCTCAAGCTATGTCTTAATGACACTAGACTGCCTATCCATCTCAGTCTTGATGGCTTAAAAGGTAGGTGTGAAGGTTGACCAACTTTTGTACCATTACCAGTATGCTTGATCTTCCTCAATGTACCTTCAGCATTTATGGTAACAACCTTCTCCCTTCTGAATTCCCTCTCATTTAGGATGGAAATTCATGTTTCTGGGTCAATATGGTGATGGATGTATTCTTCGACAGTCTTTTCCTCAATAACTACCTCCAAAGGTAAACTAGGCTGTAGAATCAGACCAAGAGAGATATTATTACTCTTAGACTTAAAATCAACAACGCACTTAATATGTTAATGTACTTACATTATATACAGTCCATCCTATTTTTAAATCTACTCAAACACCCATGCCAACCTCAGTTATTGGTCGATAAATAGTCCTACTTCTAAGGGATAGGCTTGATTAACTTGTTTGAATTAGTGGAGGTGTTATAGCAGGTATGAAAGCTAGTTGTGATCCACTTAAAGGTACAGGCATAGGTTGCTCGATAAGCTCATTATATAATTGTTTTTAGCCTTTTTTGTGGTTATGCTTCATTGGTGGATGACCTTTACATGTATATAAAACAAAAGTAAGTCTCATGCACAAAAATTATAAAAAAAATTACACAAGTTAATAAAATAAAGACTTACATCCTTGCATGTGGACTTATTATGTCTAGCTAGATGATAGATAGGGTACTTCATTGTCAACCCTTTTTGCTAACTCTCTCAATAACAAGTTTAGAAAGATTAGACATGGCATTTGCCTCTATTTCAATGGTCTTTTCCTAAGATCTTTGCATTGCAATTCCCTTTTTCCTCTTACTAGTACTCTCATCAATCCTTTTCCTCTTCTCCTTTGGTCTTCTTGATAGTGCTATGACAAGTGGAGGATCAATAGCTTTAAATTTATCTATTTGTCAGAATTGTTTGCCCCTAACAAGTTGGAATCTAGTCTCGTAGCTATCCAAAAAATTTCTCCTTATGGTAGAACAAAGATATGCATGACTATGACTTGATCTTAGCATGATACATAGCACATTTTGCATGTTGGTATGAGATGCCAGTTAAATCCTATACCCTGCCTATGCATGTTTATTGATCTAGGTAGAGATGCGTCAATCTTTCCCCTCATTTACCTTATAATCTGTATCTCTATTAAAAAAAAACCCTACTTGACAGTAAGAAATCTATTGTCTTTAAAGAATTTTAAAGCTTTTGGATTACAATTTGTAGTCCACCTATCAATAATCTTGTCACCCTCAGCCCATTTAGACATCATTTTTAATATCATACCCTCAAACATCTAAATCACTGGAAGACACCAAAACTTATTTATCTAAGCATTTAAACTCTCACTTGTATTATTGTCAACAACCTAACTATGACACCTATATGTAAAGTATGCCCTAACCCATACTTGAGGAGGATGAGAAACTAAAGATTTAGCTGCCTATTTACTTAAACTTTCAAGTGCTTTCAAATTATCCTTGAATTGCTCCTTAAATGTACTCCAAGTACAAT